AAGTCACTATACTCATCAAGTTGTACCTTTATTTACCTTTATTCATCTACATGGAGGCCACTGGCAAGTCTTGAAGAAAATATATTTCATAGAGGATTCTCCACATTTAAAGATGCCCCCAAAAACACAGAGAGCAGAATGCCTAGACATACACCAGGAGTACTGAGACTGAGTTTCACAGAGAAGACCATCCACGGATGGGTTTGAAACTACCAAGGTGAAAGTGCAATGCAATGTAAATTGCCTTTGTCATCAGGAAATCTCAGTTGTGTTCCTGGTTCATCCATCCCAGACTACTATGCACTGTCTCTTTTACTAAAAAATCATCTGGTTACAGGGCTGGAAAAACACCCCAAAGAGAAAGAGCACAGGTGGCTTTCCCAGAGGAACAGGGTTGAATCCTCAGAGACTACACAGTAACTCATAACTGATTCAATATTTTCTTCTGTTTCCTTAGGCATAGCCTTAACATGGTGTATAGACATACATGGAGATAGAACACTCAATCCCATAAAATTAACATTAAAAATTAAAAGTAAATATAAAAATTAATTGCTTATGTACCTAACCTAAACAACATCTCATGGGTCTTTGGTTGAGTTGTTGGTGACATATATGGTGTGGTTATGTGTTAGTGGGAACAGTCCTGGGGCAAAGGAGATACAGTTATAGTAGAACAATACACCTGTGATGTCTAATCTTGGTTGTCAATGTAACAACCCTGAGAGGAGTGCCTTCCATGAAATCTGGCTATGAGTATGATCATGGGCATTTAGCTGGTGGTGAATTAAATAAAAAGGGATCATAGTGCAATGAGCAGTCTTATTCTTTGGCAGTTGTGTCTGGGCTGCTTAAGAAAGACTTGTGAATATTAGAGAGTAAATGAGAAAGCATAATTTCTAGATATATTCTGCTTCCTGATATATGGTTCCTGCTTCTAGGTTTCTACCTTGGGACTTTGTTTTGGCTATCCTTGATGATGTAAACCTACAAACCAAATAAATACTTGGCTGTCCCAAGTTGGTTTGGTCAATGTTTTAGGATATCAACAGAGGAAGAAACTAGAACAGACTGAAGCCAGACGCCATGGTGAGAACTTGGGTCTTTAGACAAGGAGACATATGTATAAAATCATGGGTAAACAATGTCAGCTATGGATAAACAGCTAAGGAACTCATTCTGTTTTGAATAGTTCCCAGGGTGGCTAACAAACATTGCTGGCTGGCCTTACTTAAGCAATTGCATCCTGTTAGATAACTCACCGGATAAAGGAGTTCCTGCAATGGAGAAGGTAGACCTGGATTCCCTCTAAGTCAGGAGTATATTGGATTGGGCTTTAGCAGATGTGTAGGTGTATTTCTTCTTAAGAAAAAATACAATATGTTTTCAATCAAGAGGGTGATTTGTTGGCATAGATTATGAAAGTTCATTGGATAAAGATAAAATATTGCTCAAAGATACCTTTCAACCTGATAGGCAGCAAGCGTGAATTCCCCCCTCCAAGGAGTCATTTGCTAGACCTGGTCTAAAGATTTTGCGGCCAAGCTTTATGACTTGAGCGCGATGCTGAAGATCCACATGATTAAAGATAAGAACAGACTCCTCAAAAGTTGTCTTCTAATATCCACATGTACACATACATACATACATACATACATACATACATACATACACACGTACGTACATGCACACATACACACACACAAATGTAACTGAAATTATGAGACACAAAGAAACGGCTTTGTAAATAACATAAATAAGATTTTGCAGAGATTTTCTACAGTGAAAGTTTCTTAACAAGTAAGAAAACCTCGAAACCTCAATTACAAAAACCACAGAAGCCTCTTAATATTGGCAATTGCCCTCACTGAGGGATAAGGTACAGGGAAAATTAAGGGCCTATATTTGCTGGTAGCAAAGTGTTTTCTTGGATAGGCTGTTAATGCTTTCCTTGTAGATCATACTCTTTCCTTTCCTTTCCTTTCCTTTCCTTTCCTTTCCTTTCCTTTCCTTTCCTTTCCTTTCCTTTCCTTTCCTTTCCTTTCCTTTCCTTTCCCTTCCCTTCCCTTCCCTTCCCTT